GCATCTCATCGCTGCTGAAGTCATTCGGAGACGGATCATCCGGTCCAATGTACAGCTGTAGACGCGTTTCCAATGAATGTTAGGCTTCCATGTCCGCCGTGTCCTGCACCACRCAAATGACAGGGGCAGAGTCAAAAACAAAAGTTGCATTTACATACACATGTCATGATCATGTGCAAACACATGACCGAATGGTGTACAACAACTGCAGAATAAGAAAAAGTACAAGCATGTCAAATGAATCTTCCACARAGAKCTTCAAAACTGCCCATGCACACCGTTCTGTTCATCAAAGGATTTATGCACAAGGCCAAAGCACTGATAGCATTTGTGTGTGTCACAGAACACACACACACACACAAACATGCATACACGCACACACACCCATTCACACACAAACGCGCATGCACCCACACACACACACCCACACACCCACAATCATTTTTACATACACACACACACACACACACACACACACACACACATATTGGACAGCCTCTACGATGAACAGTGAAGGGACCTCTCCAGGGGATGGTGGATGTGTCCTCCTCCCATTGTGTCGTCGGAAAGGTACAGTACGGTTAGCATGTACGCACCATAGCCTCTGCTCCAAAGACTATGAACGGATGGTCCCTGCCAGCCTCTGCCACAAACTGCGATCCTTCATCTTGTGCTCACCCCCCGCCCCCCCTTGATTACTTGCCCTGCATGCTGTTGTGGCTTTGATCTGCCATGTTTAAATAACTGCGCACTTCAGCCTTCTTTKCTGATGACATGTCAGCAACATGCCATACGTTGTCAATGTTCCAGGAAGCTGTCATTGTTTCTACTGTGTGGACTATCCTCGGTGCCATCATATGCAACATCCTCTCCTAGCATGTCCCACATGATGTGTTGGTCATACACCTGCTGCAACCGCAGACAGAATTCCTTCTTCCCTGCCAGACGAACGACAGACACAGCAGCCTGAGGAGGGAAATAGACTACCATATGAACCACCTACAGAGGGCAGTACTGCTATGTTATCGCCACCAGGGCGAGCAGACCAAATCCTGCAGCAGCTAACCACCCTTGTTTTGGATCAATCTCACCTGTCGTCGTCTGCCCATAGAGAAGSRATAAATACTGAGTAAACTCAAGAAACCTGTTCCAGGCCACTTTGTGATGACCGACAGCCGATTCAGCTAGAATGTGGTTCGCATGCCTTATGCCATGAGGATTATGAAGGGATAACCCAGGCGAGTTTTTGTCTTCATACTTATGATGACAGTCAACACTGACGTGCCTCTGTGTTCCTAGTCTGTAGGAGCGATGTAGCCTGTGACATCTGTCTACACCGTGCCATTCCATGCAGCAACTGTGACTGCCAGAATTGGATGCGGTGCTTCCACAGGCCACACCCGAACCGATCCTGCCCGGTCTGTAAAGGTGGCCACTTACCATAGGCAACGACTACTACT